GGAGTGGAGCAGTGTCAGTCTGAAGTGTATGTCGGTCTGGTAGGGTGGTGCCAAGGCTGGCAGGGTAGTCAGCAGGTCTGTTCCCCTCACGGAAAATATGCGTGATCCTGTGATGGACAGACCGTAGTAGAGCTCTATTACGCATAAGCGGGTGCTGAATCTGCCACGAGCCCCGGTGGCCTGAAGTCAAAAGGGCGACGACAGCCGCAGCGTCTAGCTCGATCGAAATATGGCTAGAGAGGCAGCAATCTGAATACCAATCTGTAATGCCTGAATCTCTGCATCGTAGCTCGAGGAGGCCTGAAGGGGCGCGTGGAAGGCGGTGATGAGGGCGGCACTGTGGTCCCGAATCAAGCCTCCTCCTTCGGCAACTCCGGTGTGACGGTCAAACGAGCCATCAGTGTTCAGCTTGACCCACGGAGAGTCAGGTCGAAGCCAAACAACAGCTCTGGGCCGAGGGGGCTGAACAAGCGGTGGGGGGGCCATCATGTAGCGGTGTGGTGGCGTGCAACCTGTCCACTCTCGAACCGTGAGCCTGCCCAATGCTATGAGGAGTGAAATGTGTCTCTCTACCTGCAAAACAATGTGAGAAAGCATAAAAGTAATATCCCTATGCTTTGCACTATTCCTTTCCGTCCAGGTGAACCAAAGGATCAGACAAGGAATGAGGAAGCCCACGTGTCTAAGGTGTGTGCTCTGTGAGAAAAAACTCAGAAGCTCAAAGAAACTGTATGTGGTGGGTAGGGGTATATGGGTCCAAGTGGCAAAATGCTCTCACACTCTCCTCACAATCTCACTCTCTAGAAAAAGGTGGGTAAAGGTCTTGGTCTCATGGCGTCCAGTCTCAAAACAACACACACCCCGAGAGGGGAAGGATATCCCCCTCGTGTGTAGCACAGTATCCACGGGTATCCGGCGCAAGGCGCCAAAGGAACACCGAAATGGTAAGGGTGAAGAGGTCACTCCAGATGGTCCCGAAGAGGAGATTAGGCCGATCCCTCAGCCTGATCTGCTCCCAAGCCGAAGTAGTAGTAAACACACCTGATGATGTAAGTCTCCATCTCATGCTATCTGAACCGTCCCCCGAGATAGGGATCTATTGGATCTGATCTAATAAACGCTCGCTAAAACCCGCACCAGAGCCCAACTCCCTATCAAGCTTCCCCCTGTCCCACGACCCGTCCGTCCAGAGGTCGCTCACAAGTAGGTAGAGAGAATGCGACACCTGCCTATCCCTAGACAATGGCCTATCACCTACCCACCACTCATCCTAGAAACTAACCTCGCCCTCGCCTAAAACCCAGAACATGTGATCCTGGGCGCGCCTACCAACCCTAGTGAGGCGCCGCCACTGCCTACTATCATGATCAACTGCCGTCACCCAACAAGGGTGGTTGGCACGTCTCGGGCAGTACTTGCCGCGAAGGTACTGAGCCCAAAGCGACTTTCCCTCCCTGAAGCGCCACCACAGCTTGTAGGAGAAAGCTGTAACAATGTCCCTGAGGCGGCGGATGCCAAGTCCACCCTCGGGGAGGGGGCGGCAGATAGAGTCCCAACTCACTCAGTGGGTACGTCTCCCCCTCCTAGAACCGTCCTCGTAACCCCAGAAATAACGAGCCATGATCTGGTCAATCTCGTCAAGAGTAGACCTAGGGGGGTCGAGGACCATAAGCAAGTGAATCGGAAGAGAGCTAAGAGTGCTCTTGATCAGCGCAAGCTGACCACCAAAAGAAAGATGTCTATGCGACCAACCAGAGATCCTGTCGATCATCCTCTGCCTGACACCCGCAAAGAGCGCTCTCGTGAGGTTGCCCTTATATAAAGGGTCGCCAAGGTAGGTAATGGGAAGGTCGCCACGCGCAAAGTCAGTAATGTCGTGGACCCGCTGATCCCACCTGGCCGCACTGGAAGAGGAGAGGGTGAAGGTGCTCTTCTGCACACTTACCAGCTGACCGGTGACCGAGCCATAGTGCTCCAGAAGGCGCATGAGCTCGACCAGTCTATCATCATCCGCCCGGGTGAAGATGATGATGTCATCCGCGTAAGAGAGGTGAGAGATGGGAGGACCATAGCCACGGGTGCTATAGGTCATATGGGGAAAGTCGCGGATGAAACCGTTAAGGCAGCGAGAGAGGTAGTCCGCTGCAAGAACGAAAAGGAAAAGGGACGGGGGGTTACCCTTTCTAAGGCCTCTAGATGAGGGAAAGAAGTCGGTGGGGCTGCCATTGACCAGGACCAAGAACGTGCAGTGCTCCACGCACGCCTCGACAAAACTGATCCAACGCTCAGGAAATTCCATCCTAGCCAGGGCCTCCCTGAGAAACGGCCACTTTACCCATCGTACGCCTTAGCCATATCTAGCTTCAGCGTGATATCCGGAGCCCGCTTCCAATCCGCTCGGGAGATGTCGTGGATAATCTCCTGGGCCAAAAGGATGTTATCACTAATGACCCGATCCTTGACAAATCCACTCTGGTTCGGAGAGATGAGGGAGGGGAGAAGAGGGAAAAGGCGGCCATTAAAAATCTTCGATATGAGCTTGTTGGTCACGTTACACAGGCTGATGGGCCTGTAATCGGACCAAGAGCTCGGGTTGGGTCTTTTGGGGATCAAGACGACAGAGGTAGACGTGAAGGAATCCGGCATCCGGTGACCGGAGAAAAAATCCAACGTCGCCTCCTCGACGTCAGTCTCGACTAAATCCCAGCAGACCTGATAGAAGAGGGAGGAGAAATCATCCGGGCCAGAAACGCTGTTGGGATCAATCCCGAAGACAGCATCCCTAACCTCCTCCCTACTCGGGAGCTCACAGAGGCCAATGAGATCGATCGAAGGAGGGATGGTGGGGAAAAGAGAAGCGATCGGGGCCACGAGGGACCCTCTGTCAGAGGTGAAGAGGGTCTGAAAATGAGCAACAGCCGACTCCCGAATCTGAGCCTCCTGGGTCAGGTATGACCCATCAGCCTCGATACTATGGATGTACGACTTAGCACGCTTCTGCCTAACGTAGCCCTGGAAGAACCTAGTGTTCTGCTCGCCCTCGGCCACCCAGCGAATGGCTACCTTCTGCTTCCAGAAGTCCTCCTCCATAAGGAGTCGGAGCTGGTACTCGGCGTGGCAGCGGTGCATGGCAGTCCTATTCTCCGAAGTGGGGTCCAGGTCATAGGCCCGCTCAGCCGTCGCGTGCGCACTCTGAGCCGCAGCAAGGCGCTGATGAAGGTTTCCAAAAACATCCCAGTTCCACTGTCTCAACCGACGCCGCAGTCTGCCGAGCTTCGCCTCGAGATTGCGCATCCCGAAGAGCCCAATCGGCTGAAGTCAGGAATCCCTGACAGTGTCGTGGAAGGAGTGGTGGCGAACCCACATGTTCTGGAACCTAAATGAAGAGCGGCGAGGGGTGCTCGAAAATCGGCACCGGATGAGAAGGGGTGAGTGGTCAGATTCAAATCGAGTAAAGTGTGAGACGGTCGTAACCGCAAACACCTTCGCCTACGCCTCAAAAACCAAGGCACGGTCTAATCTCTCTTTGAGTCTATCCCTCACCCATGTGAAGGGCTCACCATCACATCCAACGTCAATTAACTCACAGTCCGCCACCGCCTGATGTCTGCTAGGTTAGTTGTATTTAGGCACGGTCTAATCTCTCTTTGAGTCTATCCCTCACCCATGTGAAGGGCTCACCATCACATCCAACGTCAATTAACTCACAGTCCGCCACCGCCTGATGTCTACTAGGTTAGTTGTATTTTATTGCTAGGTTATTTCTTTTATTTCTTGGTAGGTTAGTTAGGTTAGTTGTATTTTATTGCTAGGTTATTTCTTTTCTTTCTTGGTAGGTTAGTTATCTGATGTCTGCTAGGTTAGTTGTACATGTGAAGGGCTCACCATCACATCCAACGTCAATTAACTCACAGTCCGCCACAACTCACAATCCGCCACCGCCTGATGTCTGCTAGGTTCTAGGTTATTTCTTTTCTTTCTTGGTAGGTTAGTTAAGTTAGTTGTATTTTATTGCTAGGTTATTTCTTTTCTTTCTTGGTAGGTTAGTTATCTGATGTCTGCTAGGTTAGTTGTACATGTGAAGGGCTCACCATCACATCTAACGTCAATTAACTCACAGTCCGCCACAACTCACAGTCCGCCACCGCCTGATGTCTGCTAGGTTAGTTGTATTTTCTTGCTAGATTTCTTTTCTTTCTTGCTAGGTTATTTCTTTTCTTTCTTGTTAGGTTAGTTGTCTGATGTCTGATGCTGTTAGGTTAACTCACAGTCCGCCACAACTCACAGTCCGCCACCGCCTGATGTCTGCTAGGTTCTAGGTTATTTCTTTTCTTTCTTGGTAGGTTAGTTGTATTTTATTGCTAGGTTATTTCTTTTCTTTCTTGGTAGGTTAGTTATCTGATGTTCTTTTCTTTCTTGGTAGGTTAATTGTATTTTATTGCTAGGTTATTTCTTTTCTTTCTTGGTAGGTTAGTTATCTGATGTCTGCTAGGTTAGTTGTACATGTGAAGGGCTCACCATCACATGCCACAACTCACAGTCCGCCACCGCCTGATGTCTGCTAGGTTAGTTGTATTTTCTTGCTAGATTTCTTTTCTAGGTTAGTTGTATTTTCTTGCTAGATTTCTTTTCTTTCTTGCTAGGTTATTTCTTTTCTTTCTTGCTAGGTTAGTTGTCTGATGTCTGATGTTAGGTTATTTCTTTCTTGCTACTAGGTTAGTTGTCTTTTTCTTGCTACTAGGTTAGTTGTCTTTTATTGCTAGGTTTTTTATTTTTTTTTGTTTATAAAAAAATTGTAACCCATAAGATTTGAACCTAGTACCTCATGGAAGCAAGACAAGCAATGCAACCACTACACCACTCAAGGTTGAGTGTCTTTTGTTGCTAAGTTAATTATTTCTTGCTGCTAGGTTATTTGTCAACGGGTCAACGCCAAAAGTCAACCATTTTCGCTGGAAGTCAACGCCGGAATCAACAGTCAACGCCGGAGTCAATCAACATAACTGAAAGCAACACAATAAAAGGAGAAAACTTTAATTATTATCCAGAAACAGCTTTGACAGACAAGGAAAGGTTCTCCAAAGAAGAAAGAAGCAACAAATTGCCAAAAAATTAAGACAACCAAATCAAAGCGAACCAAACCATACCAAACATACATATATATATAGCCATATAGGTGTATTCTTTCACTAGTACTAATTTCTTTTCTTCACATTGAACTACAAATCCAAAGTAGATTAACACATAAGCAAAATCCACATCAAGGTTCCACCTTCAAGGACACAACTCGAGACTGCCGGCTGTGCTTCGCAGCATTGATGAAAAGACAAGGTGGGGCCCACCAGGGTCGTCGAACTTTTTGCTCCCCTTTCAAACAAGCCACTAACCACATCAATCAGAATTAGTCTTACTGGCAATTGCATTTTTGGCGAGAACGACATAAAAGGAGAATCAAGAATGAAGTCGAGGAAAAGGTAAAGAAAATATGCATATCACGTGAGTCCTTCTCGATAACATCTAAATTGTATAAGTTGGAGCAAGCAGAAGCAGTGAAATAGATCCAGTCAGATGCGATGTGTTTTTCCAGTTGTCCCCTTTATATATCCAATAGTAATACAAGAAGGTTTACTTAATCAAACATAAAGGTAGAATTGTAAGGTTGAACCTCATCCTAAACAAAGCATATCCCATAAAATTATCACATTCTATAAGCAAAGAATTAAGGCGTGCATGTGAAACCGCAAAACTCCCTCAACATGTCAGTATAGAAAAAATTGTGCATAAAAACACCAATCAAGAAGAAAAGTAAAGTTAATAGCAACGCAGCTTCCCATTACCAAGAAAAAAAATCTCACGCCCATTGACAAGAATGTCCACTAGGAAAACAATGTCTCATAACTTCATAAACAATGGTCATGCATGACATGAGAGAAGTTCAAGATTTTAAATTGGAATGCCACAAAAATTTGAAAAGACCATTAACTTACCAACAAAACAACTTATTGCAGCTTATAGGCTCACAACACATTTGCACATCGAGCTAGCTCTTCAAGAGAGAGAGAGAGAGAGAGAGAGAGAGAGAGAGAGAACAGAGAGAACAGACCTTTTATTCGCCTCAGCTCCTTGCACAAGGTAATAAAATCTCCCCACTTCATGTGGCACTTCCTTATAAACCGCAGGATCTGCTCGGTCGTGAACATCGACATCCCTTCCAAATACTCTCCATTGACCCCATTTTCCTTGAAAATCTGGCGATATCCACCGAGATGTATCTCTTCCAACCACATGCCAACATCCTATCAACAAAAAGAGAAATAAAAAAGATAGAAAATTCAATTAAAAAACACTTCCTAATTGAATTTCTTAACTACAACCTCAAGTTTGTTTGTTTGTTTGAGAAGAAACACAAAGGCTACGCACTCTTCCATCATTTTCCTTAGCCCAGCAGCTAATTGAGCAGTATTATGTCTAATCCAGCTTTCTTTTCTTATGAAAAAAAAAAAAGTTACGGAAACCTTATGCTAAAATGATACCCATTGGCCAAGTTCCCGAAGATTTCAGTTTGAAAGAATGCACAAATTGTAGAGCATAGGAAATGAAAAGACGAAGAAGAACAAGGAATCCTCGTCTGTAACTGAGACTGGCGAAAGCGAGAATGGAAACTGTAGAAAAAGGGCTGACCAACGCTCAGGGATCAAAATTCTCATTCATTGGACTCAATCGACACATTTAACCACACCCAAACCCAATTTTTTACAGAAACAAATTACATCAGCAGAGTACAAGACCTGTTAACAAAAAACACTTAAGANAAAAAAAAAAAACATTGACAGAAAAAATAAGGGTAAAGAGAAAAACCTCAACCGTCCAAATGAAGAAATCAAGGGGTTCCGGCGGCCTCTCTTTATCTTTGCTCATATCGGAAAGTGAAGGTCCCTTGACGAAGAAAAAGAACCTAAGAAATTCAAACAACGGCGTCAAAATCAGATCAATAAAAAAATATTACATGAGCACAACGGATGTCGCGGGTGCGAATAACTGTGAACAGTAAAACCCAAACCTTTTAGATAATTGGGGAATTAAGGGATGTGCTCTGCATTTGGCGATGGTAACTCTCTGATTACAGTGTCAACTGAAGAGAGGGAGAGATTACGAGGCCTAGAGTGACGATCAGGCTTAAAAATAAAACTAAGGGGTCGTTTGGTTGTGGGGGAAAAGGAGGGGGAGGGCAATTTTTTATTTTTCCCTTGTTTGGTTGGGAATTTATTCTTATATAAAAAAGGATCCTATTTACTACAAACAAATAGTATTCAGAAAAGTCAATTGCAATTAATGTTATTATTATTTACAGCATGTATTTTATTTAATTATTTTATATTGAAATTAATGCTATGCAATTCAATTAATGCTATTACTATTTCCATACAATCAGTTTTCCTGCGAAAAAATCCCACAAAATCTGCTTTAATTTTTTGTATATTTGTAATTTCGTTCTTATCTTTTATTTTTTTTATCCCATAAAATCTATTTAGTCAACAAAATTCCATAAAATCGTTTTAAACTTTTTGTAGATTGAAATCGAAATTTTCTTCTTATATTTTTAGCAAAAATTTTATTATTTATGTATTGAAATTTTGTAATCTGATTTCAGATTGTATCATTTAGAATATATTATAGTTATATTATCAAATCATAAAAAGATATTAAATCCATATTGTAAAAAAAATAAGTCATATAATTTTATAACAATTCTACTACACTATTTAACAGTATTCATTTTTATTATATAATAAAATAATAAAAAAATATTATATAGTGAACAACAATAAGTAAAACTGTTACTTTCTCTTATATCAAGGGATAAATTTATATGTTAAATTTAAATTTTTATTAATATAAATGTTTTAGTGAGATAATATATTAATCATTTTACAAGTTAGCCCTAACATGCTCATATTTAATGTTCTGGCTAAAAAAAACAAGCTGGTTAAAATGTGGAAAAAAACTTATAATTACCTTATTATTTTTTAGACTTAACGTTGATTAAAAGAGGTAAAAATAAATAATAACCCTATTATATTTTAGACATAAACGGACAAGGGTGTGAAAATAACTCATTTAATATTTTTGTCCCGTGCACGGGGTAGGGAAGGAAAATTTTAACTTAAATTTCCTCCCCTCCCCATTTTTGCTCCCCTCCAAGAGTGGGGGAATTTGGAGGGGAGGGAAAATTTTAATATATTAAATTACAATCTTACCTTTTTTATATAATATGTAAGTTTTTATTTATAACATCATTAAGGATATATTTTCTATTTTAACATTATTTTCCCTCACCTTTTATTTTCTTACCAAACAAGGTTTACCATTTTCCCTCCCTTCTTTTCCAACAAAATCCCTCCAAATAAGGTAAAATTATTTTACATCACCTCCCCTCCCCTCCCTTTCCCTCCATTAAAATCTCTCCCCTCTCTTCCCCTCCATTGAACCAAACACACCCAGGCTACGTAATTTGTTGAGGGATTTTTTTTTTTTAAACGACAATTATATTAATAACTTAAAAACTCAAATGAGTACAACCGAAGTGTCAAATGACACACTGGAACCAGAAGACTGAACCAACCCTCCTTGTCATCACACACAAGGAGGTACAAACTCCATTAAGAAGGCAAACAAACACGAAACAAAACTTCATATAGGCGAGAAACACAGACACAATTGCACTAAAAGCAGACAAAACTGCACTAAACAAACAAAATCACAAGGAAAAAAAACAACTCACACCTAATTAATAAAATAAAGCCCTCCCGACCACCGTGAAACTACACATACACTACAACCTCACAAGCCAACAAATTGAAGAAATCTACATAGAAGAGCCCGTCCTCAACCTAGAATACCGGTCCAAAAACTCCGCACTCCAAATCGGCTATGACTATCCAGATCTGAGATCCTCAACCTCGAAAAGGCCTTCAATGCAAAGAGACCGCTTCAATCAACGCGCAACCACAACCCACGTCCCTCGCTTCACACACATCAAAGACCAACCGCCACTTGCCGTGAAGACAGGCCCTTGAGAAATAGAGCATGAATAGAGCAGGGAGGCCGGCAACACAAAAGCCGCCGGAGCTCGGCTTCCATCCGCACTGCATCTGAAATTGGCTGCCCGCCAACGCCGCACGCGGAGCACAATCAAGGAGAGGGGGTGAGTTGCCGGCCTTGGCGCCGGCTGGCCAGAGGAAGGAGGAGAGAGTTGCGGTGGTACGGAGGCAGGGATTTGGAATTTAGGTTTACGCAGCAAGGTGTTTTTTTTTTTTTAGAGAAAGAGGTTCAAGCTGACAGTCAATCTAGTTCATTTGTTGAGGGATTTGAAATCTATAAATTTTAAATTTACAAGTTTAAATCTCATGCAAGTTGGAATGGTAATAGAAGTTTCAGGATTTAAAATTCATGCTAGATATTTTTTAGTCATTATTTTGAAGGATTATAAATGACACTTCAAACCTAATCATTTAAAATCCATTGTTTATCACCGTTGACGAGCGCGCCGTCCGTGATCATTTAGGTTTATCACTATCGCGAGTCAACACCATTGAAGCGAGCTAGACAATTAATTTATAATATTTTAAACACATCCATTTAAGGAGTGTGCAAGTAAAAATTTTATATTTCAAGATTTTTTAAATCAAGGAATTTCAAATTCCTCAAAACAAAAGTATCCTAAGAGTTTGTCTTTCAGTTGGTCCATTTTATTGCCTTTATCATATGTGGCATGGAAATGTTTCGAAGGCTTTCTAGATGTAGAAGTCATCCTAAACAATATATATTATATATTATATTATTTACTCAATTTATCTTTCTTTGTCAAACTTCGATAATCAGGAAATCAGGGGTGCAGTCCCACACAAGTGAAGCGCACGAGAGTGAGCCTAGATGCATCATAGTGAGGTTCCATCCCAAAACCAATTGGTGATGGGAGAAGTAGCTTACTAGGCATAATACCCCATCAAATCAATGTGGGATGACTCACAAGTGATAATCCAGCACGCTCTTTCACTTGTGAGTCCCTCATCAGCCTAAGCCTACAACCAAGCTGGGTAAAGTTAATCATCACATAAAGCCCACGCCTACAACCAGGCTGGGTACCATGCCAAATTTTGATAATCTGGGAATCAGGGGTGCAGTCCCACACAGGTGAAGCGCACGAGGGTGAGCCTAGGTGCACTATAGTGAGTTCCATCCCAAAATTAATTGGTGATGAGAGAAGTAGCCCACTAGGCTTATAAACTAGGCTCATTTATCCAATCAAATCAATGTGGGACGACTCACACGTGATATTCCAATATTCTTTTCCAACCAATTACGATTTTACACATTACAAATGACACTATAATTAAAATTAACCATTGGAGACACAAATTTTTTAATTTCCTTTCTCCAAGTTATACATCACAAAATGAACAACTTTTCATTGGAGATGTTCTAAAGCTGCCTATTTTGCCACTTGCTCTGTTCACACTACATTATACATTTTTTTTTCTTTTTCTCTCTATATATTTTTATTAAATAGTAACGCTAAAGTAACGCTGTAAAAGCTGAATTAATTGATGTTATTAGTAAAAGATCAATTTTTGATAAATTTCAATTTTGTCTTTATATGTTTGAAAGCTATAAACAATTCGCTTATGATGATATGGCTTCATTTTTAAAGATCAATATCTAGATTAAAAATAATAGAAAAAAACAAAAATTACAAAAGGTAGTTGGTCAAAAATAGAAAACAGGCTCTTGGTTTGGGTTGACCCAATCAATTGTGCTGTTGTCTGTTGAGTGATGCGCACAACGAGGCACAAACAAAACTACTTGTCCAACTTTCACAAATAATTGAGTATTTCATTGGTCGTAAGACTCATAACATAATCTCATGCAAAACCCGTGGGATTCGTATCTCCTAATGTTGAATTTGGTACTTGCAATTAAATTTGAGTTGAAAAAAAAGGGGAAAAATAATCATATAAGATGGACCCAAAAATCAATATAAAATATTAAAATCTCAATCCTTTAAAACTCATTGTATCATGCCAGGTACAAACATTCGCCAACAATGTAATCCGTAAAATACAATCATAAAACAGTTAAATTAAATTTCAAAAGGAAAAGAAAAAAAAAAAAAAAAAAAATCACTTGCACTCGAAATACACATACTGTTTCTTGGAGGGCCAAATTATAGCAGCTCCTTGAGAAGGAGAATTTGCTCTGTATCACTTGCATGTGCCGCTTGGAAGAGGCCCAGCTGATTCTAATCACAAAACAAGAATCTCTAATTTCCACTGAATCTCACCAAAGAAAAAAATAAATAAAAAATAACTAACTAAAAGTTGCCGTTGAGTAGCCGTTCGTTTTAGGAGCTTCAACCGTTTTTTTGCTAGTTTTGCTGATGATTCCCTTACCAAAATACTCTGCAACTACAGAGAATCCATCCTTTGAATTCTTGACTTTCTGAAAGAAGTGATCCTGGCTTTTCGTGTTATGCTCCAAGTTTTTCTTCATCTCCAGAACGGCTCTGTACTCGGGAGCACACTCAGGACATTCTTTCTCGTTATCACCAAGGCACCGTTGATGGAAAGAGTGGGTACACATGAAATGTACAGCTGGAAGGTCGAGAGTGAAGGTACAAGCAGTGCACTTGCAAAGCTGGAATATCCTCGCATTTGTCCTGAGATCCTGTATTTCTTTTCTCATTGCAGATGTTTCGTCCTTCAAACAAAAGGGGGAAGTACAAAATGTCAGGTCAATCTCATTACATGGAAATTGCGTTATAATATACACTGTTTGGGCCAAATTACATAAACTCATTCATCCAGGGCATTACCCCCTTTTATTCTATTCTTTATTAAGAAGACAGAAGAGATCTTTTTCAGAGCCACTTAAATGCTGGGAGACATTTTTTAGCAAACTACCTGATACTTATCAATCGCAACACGATCCTCCTCGATCAGCTTTGATTCCTGTTCCAGCTTCCGAGCAATGTAATCTTTAATAACAGAAAGTGTGAGGCACGAATTTCTGGATAAAGTCTGAAGAACTATAATTGGAGGCAAGATGTCATCCCTTTCAATATAGGTCAGAACTTCTCTAACCTCTTTTGAGCAGTCTTCTCCAAGCTCACCAAAGTACTTCAGTAAGTCCGCCCAAAGAGAAGGGTCCCCACCCTTACCCGAATCCCC